GGTTTGCCAATTTTGTTTATCTACTCAAAGGACCAGCTTTTAGTTTTATTAATCTTTATTACTGTTTCCTTAATTTTTCATTTATTTCGGCTCTGATCTTTACAATTTTTTTCTACTAACTTTGGAATTTTTCTGTTCTTTTTTAGGCTGTTTTAGGTATAGAGTTAGGTTCTCTATTCAATGTTTTTGCTGTTTCTGGAGGTAGGATTGCACTGCTATCAACTTACCTCTTAGAACTGCTTTTGTGGCATCCCATAGATTTTGGGTCATATTTTCACTGTCATTTGTTTCTAGGAATTATTTTATTTCCCTTTTATTTCTTCAGTAATGTGTTCGTTATTCGGAAACACATTGTTAAATCTTCATGTGTTTGTTTTTTTTTTTACAGTTTATTCCCCTGTAATTGATATCTAGTCTCTTAGTGTAGTTGTCAGAAAAGATGCTTGATATGATTTCAACTTTCTTAAATTTACTGAGGCTTGATGTGTGTCTAAAGACATCTTAATTCAGACTAGTCACACTTCAAATGCTCAGTAGCCACATGTGGCTACTAATTACTGTACTGGAAAGTATAGATCTAGAAGATTTATTTGGGAAATTAATTTCATGACTTTCAAGACAGGACATAACATGCATTATAAAGGAAAGACAGATAAAATATACTACAATAAAATAAAGAAATTGATATTCATCAAGAGAGTAAAAAAAAGGCAACAACAGATTGGTAGAAGAGTATGGCAATGTTAATAGTCAATAGATAAGGAATGTCTACAAATCAATATGAAAATTATGAAACAACTCAATGGAAAAATAGGTAGGTTTTGAACAGGCATTTTATAAGAGGTTAGCCAAATTACTAAGAAGCATATGAAAAGATTCTCAACCTTAATAGAGAACTATAAATTAAAATCACAAGTAGATACCACTACATACCCACCAGAATGAATAAAACATAAAAGATGTAGGCAAGAATATGGAGTCAACTAGAACTTGCATACACTACTGGTGGGACTGTAGATTGGTAAGCTCTGGAAAGCTGTTTGGTAGGATCTACCAGAAGATGAACATAAGCACATCCTCACATGGCAATACTTCTCTTGGATGTATGCAGAAACACATGTACAGGGACACCAAAAGAAATAAATGAACATAAAAATTCACACAATCATTATTCATCATAGCTCAAAACAAGCAAAAGGCCAAATGTCCATCAACAGTAGAATGTTAATAAACAAATACATAAATAAAAACAGAACAATTTTACAATGGAATACTACACAGGAATGAAAATAAAATTAAAGCTTCACACACTAACATAAATGAACCTCACAAATTGAGACTGAGCAAAAGGTAACTGTATATTTTATCAGTCTTTCCTTTATAATGCATATTATATCCTATATTGAAGGTGTTGAAGCTGTCTCCCAAATAAATCTTTTAGATCTATACTTTCCAGCAGAGTAGCCAGTAGCCACATGTGGTTGCTGAGCACTTAAAATGTGGCTAGTCTGAACATCAGGCTAGTCTGAACATCACTTTGCTGACAAAGGTCCATATAGTCCAAGTTATGGTTTTTCCAGTATTCATGAACAGATGTTGGACCACAGTGCTTCATGGCTGAGCACCAAAGAATTGATAGTTTAGAACTGTGCTGCAGAAGACTCCTGAGAGTCCCTTAAGACTGCAAGGAGATCAAACCAGTCAATCCTAAAGGAACTCAACTGTGAATCTTCTTTGGAAGGACAGTTGCTGAAGCCTCAATACTCTGGCCACCTGATGCAAAGAGCCAACTCACTGGAAAGGACCCTGATGCTGGAAAAGACTGGGGGCAGGAGGAGAAGGGTACAATACAGAATGAGATGGTTAGATGGCATCATCAACTCAATGAACATGTGTCTGAGCAAACTCCAGGTGATAGTGAAGGACAGGGTAGCATGGTGTGCCACAGTCCATGGGGTTGCAAAGAGTTGGACACAACTTAGTGACTGAACAACAACCAAAAAAGTTAACAAACACTAAATAAAACATTGGGCAAAAGTCTATTTATATATAATTTAAAATGGGCAAAACTAAACCAAGATGCCTTAATGGTTATTTTCTGAAGGGAGGGTAGGGGGTAATAATTAGGATTGGAAATTGCAATAATGTTCTCTTTCTTGAGTAATGGTAATGTTTACTTTGTGATAATTCACTGTACTTATCATACTGTTTATTTTTCTGTATACATATAGTACTTCAATAAAAAGTTTTTAAAAATCAAATTTTATGCAGTGAAAACCAACTAGAAAACATAATGATAAACAAAAATTACTAGGTTCCTAGACAGAAACAGAGTAAGACCAGTAAAAGGAGAAGTGTATAAGATACTATTGAAGAAAAAAAAAAAAAGATACTATTGAAGGACAGTAAAGAATTGCAAAAACTGTACAAAGACCACCTACATGAATGGAATAAACAACTTAAGATATATATACATCTTATATATATATAAGATATATAGTCTTCCAAGTGTATACATACAAATCTAATTCAATGTCAATCAAAATCTTCCAGCTGTCAACTTTCGTGAGACTGCATAAGCTCATCCAAGTATTCATATGGAAGAGAAAAACCGAAGGGCAATCAACAAAGTTCAGAAAATTAGCAAGATGGTAAAGACTTCTTTTTAGAAAGTTACAATAACTAAAATAACACAGATAGACCAAAGAAGAACAGAGTCCAGAAAAAGAATCAGTAACAATGATTTTGTGTATGATATAAAGAAGAACATAAGACATTAAGAGGCAAAAATTAATACCTGAAAATACCAGATGTTAATCAAAAACCTGATGTAAAGAAACAGAAACTACCTTACATGCTGATGGGAGTATAAACTGGTGCAACCATTTGGGGAAGCTGACTATGAACACACTTTCACAGCTCCAAAATTCTGCTTCTATCTATCTACCTACCCATCCACTTGGAGAAACTCGTACACTTATGCCCAGGAGATAAATTCAAGAATCTTGACTGCAGTAATGATGAATTTCTTTTTTAATGTTAACTACCGTGTAACAGGATGCTTCAGTTACAAATAACAAAACTAAAAGTGGTTAAAACAAAAGAAATTTTCACATTAAAAAATTGGGGGAAAATGGTTTAAGGACAATTACAAAAGCAATAACCCAAATCTCTCATCCTCAGATGAGATCTGTCTCCTCAGAACTTCAAGAAACTGCTCTTGCTGTAACTACTCCATCCTTGCACAACCATATCCAAAGCTGGAAGGTTCATCTTCTTTTTATTCAGGGACAAAAACTTTCTAGAAGCTCCTCTCGGACTTCGCTTTACCTTTCATCAGGACTGTACTACATACCCATAATAAAACTGATAAAGGATAAAATCCCACCATCAGCTAAGACAAATCAACATTCATTCTCTTCTGATTGGAAAGAAGCCATCTTTCCTATACATATGGGAGGCATACTAACAAGAAGGAAAAAGGAGGTAAATGAGGAATGGCAATTTATTATATAACCATTAGTGCCTGATACAAACCTAAATGCCCATCAGAAGAACAGAGTAAAAAAAACATGGATACTTATGTAATTAAAAACTACGCTGAAGTTATAAATGTGTGGCTATGAAACAATACAGAACAAGCACAAATCTTAGAAACATAAAGCTCAAAAAGATATGTTATTTCATTTAAACACAATTAAAAACATGCAAAATACCTTAATTTGAGGGTATATATACATGTAGCAAGAGCTTAATATGGGGGTGATTACATTCTAGAGAGTAGTTAATTTTTCACGAGAAGACAGGGAGTCAGATGGTAGAGGTAGTATGCATATTTAGCAACATCTGCAGTGTTTTTATTTCTTAAAAAGTGAAGGGAAGCTGAGGCAATATGACAAAATATTTTGTATTTGTTAAACCAGCAATAATGGGTTTCAGGTCTTTGTTATACAGATCTTCCTCAACTTAATGGTGAGATTATGCCTCAATCCATCCTAACTTGAAAAATATAGTAAACTGAAAATACATTTAATATACATTATCTATTGAATATCATAGCTAGCCCAGCCTACTGTAAACATGATCAGACCACTTACCATTAATTAGACTACAGTTGGGCAAAATCATCTAACACAAAGCCTGTTTCATAATAATCTCATGAACTTAACTAAATACTGTACTGAAAGTGAAAAACAGAAGGTTGTATGGAAAAAAAAAAAGGTTGTATGAATCGATACAGACTGCCTGCTTACCCCTATGATTGCACAGCTGACTGCGGGCTGCAGCTCACTGCCACTGCCCAGCATCAGGAGTGTATTGTACTGTATATCACTAGCTTGGGCAAAGATAAAAATTCAGAATTCAAATACTGAACGCATACTGCTTTTTCACCATTGTAAATTCAAAATACCCTAAGTCAGAAGTCATCTGTACGGTATGTACTTTTTTAAAGTTTGATACCTGGTCACCATCAATGATTAATCAACATATATTGGAGCAGCAGCAGAAGCCATATCATGATTACCTGAGAATTTCTTAGAAATGTAAATTCTTTCACCCCACCCAGACCTACTAAATCTCAAACTCTGAGGTTAGGGTTCAGCAGTGTCAACCAGTCTTCCTACTTGAGTCTGTTGCTAGCTAAAGTTTGAGACACCACCTATACAAGTAAATTATCAAACACTCCCACTTATATCAAATGATACTCAATTAAACTGAGCATCACCAGAATAAATTAGGTTTAATTATCATATGTGGCTTATGTGAGTTAAGACTTTTGGAAAATAGTCTATAAAATATATTTAATCCCAAAGCTACATTAAGTTGGATTTTGTTTTTTAATCCAAACACTTCAGTTTCTTATATAATAGTCTCAAGGATAAAGTCACCATTTAAAACATATCAATTTTACCTATAGACTAATGAAGATGAAAGAGCACAGATAATTAAGACAATTGCTATTAATAGCAGAAAGAGGACATTACACACCCTCCAATTACCTTGGTTTTCCACTAGAAGATGCTAGTGAAAGGCGATGCTCTGAATGAATGTTGCTCTGTTCGTCTGACATGTAAATGTCCTGCCGTTTCTTCAGTGCATATTATCCCACTGTCAAATGAATAAGTACCAGTGGTGAAAATAAAACATACAAACATATCAATCAGGCAACATCAAATGAATGACTCAATGCAACACAAAAAATGTGAGTGATCTACATGAGCTTTAAACTGTCATTTTTAAACACTTTTTAAACGTACTCAATTTGTTTACTGAAAAGATTCTGATATCTTGAGTCCCCTAATCATAATCATTTACGTTCAAGAGAGCATCACAGGAAGGCAAATTAATACATGAGTGACATTATACAGGTAATATTTAAATCTGTTAAGTATTCTTAAAAGTAAATCATACATTAACTTTGCAACCTTAGAACAGTGATAGCAGATATATGCCTAAGAATCACTTGAATGAACTATGCATTTGTCAGCACAGACTAAGCAGCTATTGTGAAGAAACTTCTCTCAAAGCATAGTGGCTTAAGAAACAAGCAAGTTTATTTCTCTTAATACCTGTCCAAGATGAGTGCTCCAGGTTTGTGAGCCCCAGTTAGTCAGAGACACATCAATCTTACATGAGTCCTATTCTTGTCAGTGGTAAAACAAACAATGGAAATCCAGGTTCAGAAATTTCTGAAGCAGCAAATAAAGTAGATATTGCTTTCATCACTTCTCAGACTTCATTGGCAAGAACATAGCCACATCGGCTCAATCAAATAAATAAGGAGACTGGAAAATACAGTCTCACCTACAACTTAGTTTCCCAGGCATTCTATGGAATCCTTTTCTTAAGGATCCTTTTCTATCCATAGCAAAAAGATCATCTTCGGGGTGGAGACAGGAATGGTGGAAATGTTGCCCAAGTCCATTTACCACTCAATCCTAAATACTGGCCTTTACAGGACTCAGTTTTGCCCTAGACAAAATCTTCTGCTGTCACTTACGTTTCACAGTTTTTAAAGTTTTGGGAATTGAGAATATTAGTTTTATAACTGATTTGGTTTTCAATTCAGCAAATATACATTAAGTTACTCATGCAAGACTTCTGGGTACTACAGACAGCTATGCATAATCCTACTGCACAAGAAAAGAATGGTTTCTGGAAAATGACTCGTAGTTGCCACCACACATTTAATTGCGTCTTTTCTTACTGATTTCCAATTTACTATCACGGTGAAAGGTTTAAGTATTCTCTCATTGTGTAATTTCTACATGAAAGGTCAGGTTAATTCACAATTAAGTACTTTAATCATTGGGCTGTATACACTATTTCACATACCCACCAACTGAACTAAAGTATATGAAATGTGTACTCTGTAAAGTTTATTAACCTGAAGTATTACCACTATTTGATGTGGTACCACACGTCTTCCATTTAACTTCTGAAAAGTACAGAACCAGAGTGGGGAAAAGGTCCCTTCGCTTTGACTCCTTCCAAAGAATGCTACCAAAAATATTCCGAGAGCATATGCATTGTTAGTGCATCCAAGCACAACTCTTAGATTACAGGAGGCATCCAACTGAGAAAAAGTTCCAAAGAATTACCATGACATACCAGTTTCACTGACTTTATAAAACTTCAAGGCACAATATTACTTTACTAATGAGTCCTTATCAAGAACCCTTAAATCCTCTTAAAGCTTCAAGGTTTCCTTTTTCATTCCCCCACTTTACCTCAGTTTGGAATGTCAATGTAGCTATTATCAAAATAAGGACAATCTGTAATATTTAGCCTGCAACTCATTCATATGAAAATAGTAGAGGCATGTTAATGGAGATCAGGCAATTCAGGGCTCCTCCTGTTTCACTTTTATTTTTCAAGAGACAGAATATAAACATGAGCATTGATCAAATGTACTAGATCAAGCAATCACACATCAAATCTATTATTGTATTCTAAACATTCATGTAGAAACCTACATTTTCTCATTAAATGTTCAAACTATCTGAAGTCTCCGCTTTTCAAACATTCATTACAGGGAATCTGGAACCATACTATAGAAAGCCACCTTTGACATTCCTGTGTCTGTTTTGCTGCTTGTGAATACAAAGAACATCCAAGATTTGTGCATGTATGAGCTGGCTGACCTTTATCAATCACAAAATACTGTGATGCTTTTTGAAGCTACTAAAATGTTTATAATTTTAGTTATAAAATTTCAATTTAATAAGCTTCAACCTCTTTCCACTACAAATGCATATACACCTACTCCACATGCAGTCATAAAGAGGACTTAAAAGACAGAGGGCTAACCTTAGGACCTGGATGAGAAACACATCCCTTTTCCTTTCAACTTGCAGAGCTGGGTTCTCTTTCCAGTCATCATCCCTGGCCGTTGCCTTCATTCTAAGAACAGCGACTCCCACTGCCTCAAATCTTTATTACTCCATTCATCGTCCCTCTTCCTATTTTTCTTTTTCAGCATCTTGTCACTGTTACACGTTCCTGATTTTGTACCAACTTACCATTCATAAGCACTGCCAGGTAAAATGATCCTTCCTTTGCATAAGATTAGGGGAAAAAAAAACACAGAATCTCCAAGGCAACATTTTCATAATATTAACATTTTTTGATGCTGCTGAAAACACAGGCCACTTCTCCACCAGGGAAGCTTTCTATCTGATAAATTTTAGCTGTCCTTACAGTTGTTTGAACAAAGCTAAATGGTTCTGTTCTGCCATTTAGCAGAATCTTACAAAAATATTTCAAATGTCAAAACTACTTAATTTCTACTAGCAAACACCAATTGCATTAATCAATTATCAGTCCATCTTTATAGTCAAGTTCAACCTTCTCCAATTTAAAGAAAACTACATAAAATTCTTAAATAGTGTTTCAGGGCACATTCTCTGTCTTACAGAATCACATTCAGATACACAGACTAGGGTAGATTTTGTGATATACAGTTAGAAAAAGAAAAAATAAGAAACTGAGTAATGCCGGGGGAAAAAGTAGCGCAGGGTAAGCGCCAGTTTACAGCCGCCAATAACCTTCACAGTCATAAAGACGCAACACCGCTGTTCTAAATCGGAACTGCAACATGACTGTACTGGAAACTGACATACAGGAAAGGCGAGCGCTCATGGAGAGGGGAAAGAGTGCCCAATCTGAAGCAGACAATGACTAAAATTGAAAATCAACCAGTTATGAATACTGGAGACATGGCAGTGAACAGCAAAACAACTAAGAAACCAAGAGTTCCTTATATCTCTAGGCAGAATGTAAAAAGGCAGAGGACTGATTTTTTTTTCTTTTCCCCAACCTTAGTTTCATAGAACTATTTAATTCTTTAAACTATATTCCTGTATAATTCAGACTGAAAAAACTAAAATCCAGCAACTATAAATCTTAGTTTCTGTTGAACAAAGTCACATTGTGTCACATGTGGAGGAAAGTGAATTAGTTTCAAGATTTCACAAGCATTTGTTTATAGAGTTTTAATCACATTATATAATCATTTTAACTTCAATTTGTGCTATTCTTTTTTACCTGCTTAGTTGGATAAGTCCAAGATATGGGGAAAGACCACAAAAGTCTGAATACTTTTCAGGCAGGTCTTGTTACATACTTTCAAATTGTTTTCTAGACAAATTAAATTTGGTTATACTGCCACCAGCTGTATGATCATAGTATTCTCATTAGTGGTTGCTACTATTAATTTTGGAACAGGTAAAATTCCTGTTTGGAACAGGTGTCAGAGGGGTAAAGAATTAGCCTGCCAATTCAGGAGATGTAAGAGAAGGAAGCATGTTTGATCCCTGGGTCAGGAAGAACCCGTGGAGAAGGAAACGGCAATGCACTCTAGTATTCTTGCCTGGAAAATCCCATGGACGGAGCCTAGCACGACCATGGGGTTGTAAAGGACTGAACACACACACAATACAAAATTACCTTATTCTTATTTACATTTTCAAATTATTCCTGGTGTCTCAATATTTTTATAAACATAGATGAACTTTTTATAAAACATGGCTTAAGTCATATTTTCTGCAGAAGACATCTTCAATTCTGTCCAGTGCCTCTTTACTTTGATTACAATGTTTTCCCTTTCCTGGACAGAAGTGTTCCCATGTACATGCACTGAAGTCTATAATTTATTTTTGCAATTTCTTTATGACTTCTAAATTTAAGAAGTTTTTTTCCCTTCCTATATTTAATATGTATTGTTTTCTTTTAAAACAAAAGCCGTAATTAAAATTAACATGACCCATAACATCCGTTTTTTTTTTTAGGGAAAATAAAACAACCGCTGAACAAACAAACAATAGTCTTTTATCTGTTCACTAAGAAAGTTTACATTTTTGCCTTAATAAAACTTTCAAGTACGTGTGTTTAAGCAGAAATCTTCAGAGGAGAAGCTCTAAACATTTTTATATATAAATCATAAATTATATTGTAAATAATATTATATTTACAGTGTGCTTAAATACTTTTTCTTAAAATTTCTTTCAGTGATTTGATTGTAGTTGATTTCCTTCTTCAGTTCTTTTTTCTAAATTAATGATTATTTTCTTGAAAATAAACTTACTTACACCAGTTGTTGGTGTTGTTGCTATATATATCAAATAATTCACCTTACTTGAAAAAACAAGAGTATGCTAATTTAAAACAAAAATCTTAACATATATATTCTAAACATTAACAAGTTATGAAGTCAGTTGAAATTCTATAGTTAACAAGGTCCATGGAAATAGAAAACATAATCCTGTTGCTTTGCAACATACATTATATATAGTACATGGTATCTGTTCTCAACTTTGTTGTAATTAAACATACAATTATGTAATAATTACATTATAATTACATAAAATGTTTTTCAAATATTACACTTTTACTGACCTCACTGATTTGCAAAGTACTAACAAATCATATCTTACTCTATATACCTTGATACAGTATATAAATCAATCTTTCCTCCATCATGAGGCTATGTTCTTCTATAACAAAGCGCAAAGCATACTTACTCACATGTAAACAGAATAAAATAATGATTCAGCATCAGCAAAGGTGCACTGAACAGTATTATACCAGAACACCTGTTCACAGTTCTG